GGGGGTTTGGCGTTCAGCTTCTGTATAGTATAGACCGGGGGGGCCAACTGGTGTAATTTGCAGAACAAAAAAACAAAGTCTGAAGCGCTAGAACCAATTAGATTGGCAAGTTGGGGGATGTTTTAAGCTAGGGCGGCTTTGAAGCACACAAGGTGTGTGTGTGTGTGTGTGTGTGTGTCCTCCGTGGAGTGTGTGTGTCCTCCGTGGAGTGTGTGTGTCCTCCGTGGAGTGTGTGTGTCCTCCGTGGAGTGTGTGTGTCCTCCGTGGAGTGTAAAGGGAATCGGAGAGGTAGAAGAGAAAAATGCAAATGAATCATGAGTGAGTGTACCATGTAAAAAACGTGTAGAAACTCACCATGAGGTTCTTAAAGATGTGCTGTCATCGACGACGGGAACTGTGCTGGAGAAAGTTGTTTGGCGGTTGTCTGATGGTTTCTGCTTGGTATTGGTATGCGAGGTTGATGCCATGCACACGAGTCTCGATGTGACTCAGTGTGGCGCTGCACGGCACAGAGAACACAGCACCAAACAACAAAAATAAACATCAAGCACAAGACAGCGCAATAAGGTTCATCACTCCCTTCAACAACAGATTCAAAGCCATTGAGTCTATTTTGAGAAAGAATTGGCACCTACTCCTGTGTGATCCCAAATTAGGCCCCATACTTCCTCCCAAGCACCCAGTAGTTTAAAAAAAAAAAGCCAAAAGCGTCAAGAACATGGTGGCGCCACGCAAATTATCTATCCAGAAAACCAAAACCTTTCTCTGACAATAGGACAGGAGGGCACAAATGTAAAAAAACGACTCTGTTTAACTTGCCAATTCATCACACATGGCCAAACCTCTTCAAGACGGCTCTGGGAACACATTTCCCATACATCATCCGGTGTGCTTCAAAGCCGCCCTAGCTTAAAACATCCCCCAACTTCCCAATCTGATTGGTTGTAGCGCTTCGGACTCTGTTTTTGTTGTTCTACATAGATTTGAGTCTGACTATAGTCAGCCGGATCTTACAATGATTGTCTGGGCTCGTTGGCCATCTTTAGACATTGGGATATCTCCCTGTCCTGACATGATTGCGGAGATCTTGTTTCTTCCACCACGTATACCCTCCAGATGTCCCGGCTCCTTATCCCTATTACTGAATTGGCTTACTGGAGCAGTGGGAAGTTTTTTCTAATTGCTGTGCTCTCATGACTGGGATTTGTGCTCCTTGTTAGGCTTCATTGTCATAGAATTACTTGCTTTGGACACACGCACATGCAAAACGGACACCATGATTGCAACGATGTACTCAGAATCCAGCCATCTGTTTGTTTCAGAGGTTGTATGGTATACTGTCCATGTATACACGTGTTTACACTTTTAATTACCGAGGGTAAAACAAACTTTAACAGCCGAACCCCATTTTGCAATATTGACATGTTGGTAATACTGAACATCTCTTTGCATATACTTAAGGTTCTGTTTATAAACCGCATTGTTTTGTCTGATTAGGGGCCGCATGTGGCTCTGAAATGTTGCGATTTGCTTGTGACGCCATGTTTGTCTGAAGGTCCGTAAATGACGGATCGAGTGGACCTTGGGGTGCTGGTAACCTTATTACCTCTATAAACCATTTGCAGAGCCATCTCTGTGGACATTTGTTTTGTGCGAAATGAGGCAAAAGCAAACGTTCTTCATTATATTGTTTTTTTTTTTTGTTTTTTTATAGCCCGAATGTAATATTTGGAGAATAAAGCTTTAAAGGAGAACTATGGGGTTGGGGCTTTTCCCCATAGTTCTCCTAAGGGTCACGGGAGAACACAAACTAGTGTTCTCCCATGACTCAAAGCTCAGTGTAGCTCGCGGTATTCTGAGATACCGCAGCCAGGACGGATCCAGACAATACTGTCTGGATCCACCCAGCTGTGGGATTGACAGCTGGCTCTGCCTATCCAGAGGCAGAGCCAGCTGTACCGGCCCCCTCCCCCTATAAAGCACCTACAAATCTCTGCCTCAGTTTCCACTTTAATATTGGTACTTTTTTGTCCTGATTTGTTTTTTTTTGTTTTTGTTTTTTCCTCTTTCCATCAGAACAAGGACAAGGTGACCATCCCACGTTTTATACCTACGAGGAAGGCTTGTCTCATCTCACTGCTGAAGGACAGGCCACCTTGGAGCGGTTAGAAAGCATGTTGGCCGACTCCGTAGGAGGTCAGCACACCATGGCCGGGGTCCGGACTGAAGATTCTGCTCTGGAATTTGAAGGTGACTTTTTAGAACTCAAGTTAAATATATAATGTATTCTTCAGCATAAAACATAAGTATTAATGATGGTTCATGAACGTTTTACAGCTTTTCATGCAAAAGTGGGGACTACCGGGATGGACAATTGAAAATACACACGGCCTGGCCCAAAATAAAGTGACTCTCTCTAGTATATTATTGGTCCGCCTTTAGCTTTGATTACGGCACACATTCGCCGTGGCATCGTTTCCATAAACTTACACAATGTCACAACATTTATTTCCATCCAGAGTTGCATTAATCTTGCACCAGGATCTTGTAGTGATGATGGGAGAGTCAGACCTCCTGCGTAAAGTCTTCTCCAGCACATCCCAAAGATCCTCAATGGGGTTAAGGTCTGGACTCTGTGGTGGCCAATCCATGTGTGACAATGATGTCTCATGTCCCCTGAACCACTCTGTCACAATGTGAGCCCGATGAGTCCTGGCGTTATCATCTAGGAATATGTCCAATGTGCCATCAGGGAAGAAGAAAAATCAATTGATGGAAAAACCTGATCATTCAGGTAGGCAGCTGACCTCATTTTTTGGGACAACATTGCTCAACCTAGACCTGAGCAACTGAAGCAACTCCAGATCATAACACGTATCCAATGGAAGGCTCTTGCCTATCTGCTTAGATAAATCCATATGGTGCCTTTTTTTGGGGGGGCCAGGCATGCGGGGCTATGCATATTAGTGCCCTGCCATGCTGTTCACTCTTAATGGCACCCCAACACACCTGCATTGCACCATTGTGTACGGTAACACCTTTCCCATGTGGGTTGGTCTGCATTACAAAAAAAAAACACGGCAAGCACTTTGGTTTGCTCCGTTGACATTTAAATGAGTAGGCCGCCTTAATATGCGTGCTTTAATACACCACTAAAGTGCGACTCCAGCCTTGGATGTGGTGGCTGCATTCTTCTTTTTTTTTTTTTTTTTTAACCTGGTGATCTTGCCAGTAACACACTTCCTGTCTTGCGGTGACAACGCTTGCTGTACTGTATCTTTAGAAGAGCAGCGTTTGTCCCCCCAGGATGGGAAGAGAGTTAGGGCCACTGGGCCCACCCCTCTTTTTATATAATATAGAGGCGGGGTGTTCTGTAGAAAGATAAAGGCAAACAATGTAGCATGTGGAGGCTGCAGGATGTTCTCTGCTTGTTGGATTTTTTGCAGAATAACAGGATCCCCCCTTAAAGGAGAACTATGAGGTGCGTGCTTTTCACTCACCTCATAGTTCTAGCCGACCTGTGACAATGAGACTGTCACAGGTCGGCTCAGTAGATCAGGAGGTGAGCGAACACATACCGGCGTTCGCTCACCTCTCGGTCCTGTCACTGCTCGCTGCCGTGACAGGGGAGGGGCTGGATTCCCCCCTCCCCGCTCCGCCAGCGCTGACTGGCGGAACGGGAGGGGGCGGGTACAGCTGGCTCTGCCTCTAGATAGGCAGAGCCAGCTGCCACTCACGCAGCTGGGCGGATCTCGACATCGATGTCGGGATCCGCTGCGGCGTCTCAGTATACCGCGAGCTGCAGCTCACGGTATACTGAGCTTAGGGTGACGGGAGGACGCTAGTTTGTGTCCTCCCGTTACCCTAAGGAGAACTATGGGGAAAATCCCTGACCCCATAATTCTCCTTTAACAGATTAGTGTATTTAACAAGCCTCTTCTGCCCCCTGCTGGTCATAATACTTTGTTCAGACCTTGGTTTGGAATACATCCCTGTAAATGTATTCTGCTCTTTAAAGTATATTTCCACTTTTCAGTCAAAATTGAGAAAGTCCCGCACTAGGTTTGGGTTCCTATTCACACAGTAGATCTAAAAACAAAATTTTTACTTATTTCCTAACTTTTTGGATATCCGTTTGTTTAGCAGGCCGTTGCATTCTCCTCTCTCCATTTCAGTAACAGGAAACTTTGCCTGTCCCTAATAGAAAGAGTAAGGACAGGCTGAGCTCCCCTTCATCAACATACATTGTCTTCAGGGCTTTAACCCTTTTAGGACAGACAGATCACACATTATTTGGTCTGGATTGGTGCGCACCAATCAGGGAAAAACCCAGAAATCCCGCTGCGACAAGGGATATAGAACAGCCTTTGTCTGTCTTTGCTAGCCGTGTATATTTCAGGCATAGACAAATGGAAGGCTGCGTCTGAAGCTGGGAGCGTGGTCTATATTTTGGGGTTTTCCTGGACCTGCAATGCCGATGGAGAATCCCGGATGTGGGCCCCTAGGTTCGACAACACAGTGTACAGGTTTAGGTGCAGATATCACTGGCAGAAGTGGCTCCGTGTGATCAATGAACGCTCATTTTATGCCTTTCCTCACCTGACGCTTCTCCTTCTGCTCCATGGGATCGAGATGTGGGGGGGTACGGGTCGAGTGGACACATGATGGTGATTCTCATTGCTCCGATTTGGGCCAGGTAGATGTGGTACGGCAACCTGATTCTAACAGATGCCCCGTCGGCCCTGCTTGATGGTCTCAATTGCTGGCCTAAGGGCATGGCTGTTGAAGCGCAGGTTGTAAAGGGCAGGGGTATATGACTTTGTGGATCTTCTGATGCTCAAGGCTAGGAAGTTCACCAACCGCCAGGTCTTTCACCGGATGTGGAAAGCGTACTTCACTTGGTGTGAGTCCAGGGGCTTCCACCTCAGCAGCTTCCCCATCTGATCTTCTCTTTCCTACATTTGGGTCTTGACCAGAGTTTAGATCTCGCCACCATTTCAGATTCAAGTCTCTTCACTTTCCATTCTGTTTTTGTTGGCTTCTCACTCCGGAGTAAGACTGTGAATGGAGGTCTCCCATCTGGTTCCTTCAGTTCAATCCCCTTTGACTCTCTTGTGATCTAAATTTGGCTCTTTCGGCAGACAAAAACGTAGACCTTTTTTCCAACCCATAAGGTTGCTTGTAGCCATTACCTCTGCAAGGAGATTGTCTGAGCCTGAGAACCTTTATTGTCCTTTCATGAGGAGAAGGTGGTGAGGCCCAGGTCTTCCTTCCTGCCCAAGGTAGTTTTTGTTGCTTATCACTTTAACCAGGGCATTGTTCTCCAATACATCAAAAGGAAAGGACCCTCCAATGTCTAGATGTTTGTCAGCGACGGTCTATCTCTAGGCCATCGCTTTTTCCCGGAAAGACCGATTCCTTTATTTTTCTGAATAGACCAGAGAAGGGGGCTCAGCTTCTCGCTCCACCATATTTGGATGGCTCAGGCAGACCGTCATTCAATCTTATGGTCTCAAGGATCGGGTTTCCCCCCTTTCCTAATGCTTACACCATTAGGGCTGTGAGCTCCACTTGAGGCCCCTGTTTCCCCAAATAGTAAGACGGTCACCTGGTGTTCTGTTCCCACATTCTGTAAGTTCCACCAGGTGGATATTGCAGCCATCTGATGCCAGCGTTGGGTATAAAGTTCTTCAGGTGGCTCTTTGAAATGCAGGCAGTCCCCAGTTTCTGGTTTTGTTGGGTTTGTTAGCAATTGTTTGCTGTGTTGCCCAACCTTCAGTAGGATTGCTTTTGGATAGTCCCAAGGTTTAAGTGTTCCTTTGTCCTTCAGCGGACTCCCGAGGTTTGTCAGGGATGGCCAAACTCTGGCACTCCAACTGTGGTGAAACTACAAATCCCATGATGAATCTCTCCGGGAGTCCGGTCTGTGGCTGTGAAAATCTTGCAATGCCTCATGGGATTTGTAGTTCCACCACAGCTGGAGGGTCGTAGTTTGGCTACCCCTGGTTTAAGTGTTCCTGTGTACAAGAAAGAAAACAGGATTTTTGTTCTCACCATAAAATCTATCTTGGGGTCCATTTGAGGGACACCCCTCTGTTTAGAATCGTGCTCTCAGTACTGCTATGCTGCAGACCTGAGGCATGCTGGTATGTGGGTTATATCTTGGGCTGGACTCCAGTTTGCCTCCTGTAGGTGGCAGTATAACCCAAAGTCTGTTACAAACTTGACAAATCTATACCGATGTACTAAAATATATTGGCAGATGTAACTTTAGTGAAACCATATTCTTCAGTAGATTGCACATGTCAGTATCTCTCAAATTGTCACCTGTACCTCCTTTTATTGGACCTTTTTAATAGGGCCACTCGGTGGCAATATATGGCAAGTCAAAGCTCAAATTTCACCAAAATGTTTGAGATTTGCTGCAGCTGCCGGTCTTTGGATTTACTGATGACCTTCACATGCACTTTTCACCAATGACATCTCTCACTTTGACACTTCAGTAGTTTTCACTGCGATGGCAGAACTGCAGTTCAGTATTTGTCTTTCTCCTCAGATGGTATGGATGTGGAAGCTTTGCCTCCAGTCGCTGGGCAGTTTGAAGATGCCGACGTTGAACACTGATTATATTCTGGTAAGTGAAGCTTTTTCTTTTGAATTCCAGGTGTTCATTACAACGTCGGGAGCATTGGGTTATGTTGTGTATGTGGCTAAGCTCTGTACTTTTTATTTCCTGTTGGCTCTGGTAACCTTGATGTAAACCTGTAATACGTCCATGCAAAAAAAAAAAAAACAGGTCCACCTCAATTCCCCCAACAGCACATGACCTTTCAATGGTCTTTCTGTTTTGCTGTTGAGCATTAAACCCTGCTGTGTGTCGCTCTAGTCCTAGCTTCCCCAGTGCTATAGACTCTCCTCATGTAACACTACTGGGTTTGGCAATTAGCCTGTACTGTCAAATGGTGCAACCGGCCCGGTTACCTGGATCGTGGAAGCGATCTGGCGGCAGCTTAGCCGCCAGAATCGCTTCCACTGTAAGGCCGGCCGCCGATTCGACCACAACAGTTCATCCTGTTATAGGTCGACAAGGGGTTACATGGATTTCTTTCACGTTTAATGGTGTGCTGGTGACGTTCCTGGACTGCAGGCTGGATATAGGGGAGCATCTCTCCAGCTAGGGCCAGACAGCAATAAACACCTAACAGTCTCTCATTCTATCCAAAACCAAATCCATCCACTGGAGTATGAGGGTTTACTGGGGTACATGTCCAATAATTGTTGGGTTGTAATGTTAGGTGACCTTTATGATATAAATCTATGTGGCCACATTTTAGGCCCCATTCACACACGAATCGGCCTGCACGTACAGCTCCGTACTGCGTGCACGGCCGTACCAAGCAGCTGCCGGGAAGGACAGTATGCAGCCCCCGTCCTTCTCTATGGGGCTACTCGGCCGTACGCTCACCTCAATTGCAGGTCCGTAGGGGTGCGGGTGAGCGTATTCATACGCCGCCGGAATGGATCCTGTATGCGTCCCGGCCAGAAAACCCGCACTCCTACGGACCTGCAATTGAGGTGAGCGTAAGGGGGCTGCGTAGTCCCATAGAGAAGGACGGGGGCTGCGTACTAATCACACGCAGCACCTGTCCTTCCCGGCAGCTGCTTTGTACGGCCCCGCACGCAGCACGGTGGTGTACGTGCAGGCCGATTCGTGTGTGAATGGGGCCTTAGGCTCACCATATGTCTGCACAGCCAGGCCACATCTGGAATGTTTCGGCTGCTCATTGCTCCGAGATGACATTTCCTCTGGGACTAAACTGTATGTACTTTTCCTCAGGTGCCGAAGGGACATGTTCCAGATCCAACCACTGTGACATCTGACACATTTCCATTAGTCCCGCTTTACATAACTTTCTACTCATTCCCCCGGAGCCACCTTGTGGGTTTGTTGGACCATTTCGGTGATCATCTTCTGTAGTGGACCCCAGAGAATTGCTCTAACAAGCGCTCTCTTCACGTGACGAACTTACTGAAGACCGTTGGCTGCCCCATCTGCGTTTAGTGCGGCTTTCCTGGACAATCGTCATATATGTTTGTGGTTTGGACAATCTGTGGGCTTTCTAGGCCTTTTAGAGATGGTCCCCAACGCCGTAAGTGCACCTTAAAACCAAATGCGCTTATCTTATTTGCCCCTTGACCCGACCCTGTCCTTCATACATGCAAACATTGTCTTAATCTGACAGATGCAGTTTTGCTGTTTGTTTACATCCAGTGCTGCAAGTCCTCATTGTCCTGACCATAGTGCCCCATGGACTTCTATGGGGCTGTCTCTAATCTTCTCTGACTTTGGGGACACCATGCCATAAGTCTGTGGAGATGTAATGCATCGGTGAGGCCAGGACAGTGAAGACCTGCGGTGCTGCATGTAAACAAACGGCTGAACCGCAGCTATCGGATGGAGGTAAGTCTGTATCTGTGGAGGTGGGTTTGGTCGGGAAAGGTAAGTGCACCTTGTTTTAAAGCGCACTTGCCCTTTAAGCCTGGAACGGACGGCTCCACAAGTGCCGGAGAGCCGCAGATTGTTGGTTTGTGTTGCAGGAAAGCGTCTAGCTAGAATTCTAGATTTTACTAGAACATTCACAGTAATGATTTTTGATTTTTTTTTTTGCAAAGCAAACCTGCCTTCTAGGTCTGCCGTGGTGAGGCTGTAGCTGTGTCTATAGGTTAATATGAATCTGTCTGCAGAGAAAAACTTGAAGCACTTCATGCTAAAACTGGGCAGTATGTGTAAAGGTTCTTAATATTGTCTAATAAAAATTAGCTTTTTGTACCAAACAGTAGAATTTGTACATGTTTAATATCTGTTTTATGTTTGTACATGTTGTGTTAACCCCTTCATGACTGAGGCCCTTTTTTCCATTTTTGCACCCATGTTATATTCCACATTTTAGGCCTGAAAATGACGTAAAACCCCCCAACATTATATATTTTCTGAATGCCAAGACCCTATAGAATAAAATGGTGGTAGTTGAAAATTTTTATGTTGCGCAATATTAGCGCAACTCCTTATTAAACCCCAAAATTTAGTGACAAATTTAATTAAATGCCCCAAAACACAACAAATTACCCATTTTTTTAATGAAATATAAAAGATGAGGTTACAACGAGTAAAACGATACCCAACATGCCCAGTTTACAGATTGCGTGCGACCGTGAAACGGCGAAAAACTGCAGTACCCCAAAAAATCAATAAAAGACACTTTAAAAGCCCCCACAGGTCATCAATTTAGAGATACCCCAAAATACTGACCCTAGAATTATTGCTCTCCCTCCGGCGTGCGCGGCGATACCCAACATGTGTAGCGCGTTCGTCGTTTTCATGCGTAGGCGCACCGACGCGTGTTTACGTGGTGACGCGCGGGGGCGGGGTGCTTTTAAATTTTTTTTTATTATTAGATTTATTTTATTTCATTTTAATTTTAAAAACTTTTTTTTTTTTTTTTTTTACTTTACTTTGACTGCTATCACATGGGGGGGCTTGCAAGCCCCCCCATGTAATAGCAGATGGTGGTGACAGGTCCTCTTTAAGGTGATGCTGGGGGTCCAAAAGACCCTCAGTGTCACCTTTACACTGGAAATAAGCTATTGAAGTGCAGATCGCACTTCAATAGCTTATAGCTGGGCTGCAGGAGCCCAGAACTGACAGCCCAGGGACCGGAAGTGATGCAATCTGCATCGCTCCCGGTCCCATAGAACGGGGAGGGGATCGATGAACGGAAGTTCGTCGACCTCCTCCCCAGCTCCCCGCGGACACAAAGATCGCCGGTCCCGGGCCCGTAGGAGGGGCAACGGAGCCCGGGAAGCACGGCGGGGGTGTCGGGGGGGGGGGGCGGCCCCTTCTTCGGGACGCAGAAGCGATCTGGCGACAGGTAAGTCGCCAGGATCGCTTCTGTTGTAAAGCCGACAGTCGGCTCTACAAGTTTAAACAGACTCCCGGCGGCAAAAGTCGCCGGGAGTCTGTTTAAACAGCCCCGATGCTGGCGACGTGCACTGTACGTCGTCAGTCACGAAGGGGTTAAAGGAGAGAGAGAGAGCACCAGTGACCTGTCTTTATTACAGGAGGGGGCGGAGACGGGACCAGTAAGATTTTGGCCTCATTTACACTTCTGTACAATACGCTGCGCACATGCGCTTAGGTGTGTATTGTCCCTTATGCAGCATATGCAAATAAATGGCTCCATACACCTACCTGCGCATGGAGCCGTATATTTGCGCTGCGTAAAGATGTGCAAAAACGGAATGGACCCTGAGATGCGTCCGGGCAACCTATTTCTGCGTATTTTACGCGCTTACAGTTCATTAAAATTTCTATTACGAATGATGCATTCTGGTATTGCATATAGTGCACGCACATACGCAATATACAATTTTGCTCTTGCGCTGTGTGTGCATGAGGCCTTAAAGAGGAACTTTACCCAGATCTTTGAAATGACAACAAACGCAACTTTAGAAATGTTTGGTAATGACAATCTACAGATAATTCTAGATAATTGCTGACTTTTGTATTCTTTGTATACCATTTTTTTTTTCTCTTCCTCCCCATTCTCCTCACAGCGGCCATTTTTACTAAGGGCAGATCACTATATCTCTGTTTACTTCTGGTAACTCTGGCACATGTGACCATGTACATCATCTCAGGGGATGAAAAATACCTTTCCCTGAGATCTCATGAGATTACAGATGAGATTTCCCAGCAATGCTCTGCTGATGTCACCTTCCCAGGATGCAACGCTTCGGCACGATTACATCACTAATGCCCAACAGGACTAGGCAGTGGAAAAACAGTAATTTGTAAGTAAAAGCAAAGTATGTTTAACGAATGAATGTAATTCATATCAGCATGCAGAGCTTGATAGTGAAAGGGGGGTAAGGGTCCACTTTAACTCCTGAGTTTAGTGTCACTTTAACTGAACAAGCTGAAGAGTAGACATGTGCGATTCATTTCGTTGCAACGAAATTTCCCATCATTCGGGCGCGTCTGAATTTCCGAATCCCAATGCATCCGATTGTGTATGAATCCGAATTTGAATGTCCTAATTTCGTTCAAAAACGAAATTGAATTGGACATGTGACTTTTCTGGCCAATCAGATGTGTTTTTTGTAGGGCTATTCGTTAAACTTTTTGATCGATTTTAAAATTATTTTGATCGCTAATGAAAACACTCACCTCTCCGCCGGCTTCCGGGAGTCCCGTCGGCGATAGAAATTCGATTAATCGAACACAAAAATTGTAATCATTGCCAGCCCTAGTTTTTCGGTTTAATGCATCCGAATGGGTCTAAATACGAATTTTCGTTACGACAACATGGGAGCCATATACAGTATATACATATAATACTAAAGCTGAGGCTCCCAGACCCGAATGGCATTCAGGATCCGAATTTCCAAATTGCATTGGGGAGCTCCTGAATGCCATTTGGGTCTGGGAGTCGTATACATATAATACTAAAGCTGAGGCTCCCAGACCCGAATGACATTGGGGTTCCAAAATGCATTGGGGAGCTCCCAAATGCCATTCGGGTCTGGGAGCCTCAGCTTTAGAAATATATGTATATGGCTCCCAGACCCGAATTTCTGAATTGCATTGGGGAGCTCCCAAATACCCTTTGGGCCTGGGAGTCATATACATATAATACTAAAGCTCCCAGACCCAAATGGCATTCAGGAGCTCCCCCAACGCATTTCGGAAATTTGGGTACCATTCGGGTCCAGTAGATTCAGCTTTAGTATTCATATCTGTATTTGTTTTTTTGTGGTATTTGGAACAAACAAAAATTTGGATTTCGTATGAATCCAAAACCCGAACTGAATTGAATTTCGGAACTGAATCCTGAAATAACCGGACCGAATATTTCAGCAGCTTACATGTCTAATGAAGAGAGAAATTGGTTCTTATGCACAGCTGCTCCTAATGCTGTCTGCACCAGTTTTGGTAAATTCCCCTCACTCTCATATCATCCCAAATATATATATATACAACACTGTGCTGGGTCTGCACACGACCTGACGCTATGTACAGATATAGAAGTCTAGGGGACGATGGGAATTTGGACGTCAAGAACAGCCAGACACCGGATCCGGGAGAACGTCCAGAATTGTAATGTGCAGAAGTATTTACAGAAATGTCATCACAGGAAACATCCCGTCAATGAGGTTCTGAAACCATCCCACAAAAGTACATATTCCGATGATGAATCTCGTCCCGTGTATCACAAAAAGCCATTGGAAGAGTTTGATGATAAATAGGCGGAGAGTCCGATGTGTTGGCTTCCGAAATCTTCACTGACGGGAGACTCCTGCTGGTCAGTAGTTGGCTCATTGGACAAGGAACCCAGTGATAGGTTAGTCCTTCTTCACGCGGCTCCGAGGTCCTCTTGTGGGATTGAGCTTTGGAAGTATGAACTCCAATAGTAGGAAAGATAGCACCATACCTGGAAAGACAGGAAGTCAGGGAAACTAATGGCTGTGGGTCAATTTTATTGTAAAAATGGCCCTTTCGGGAATTGTATGAGTCTAAATTAAAGGAGATGTACCCTGGATATCATTTAGTTTGCTAAGGCATTGTTTTAATCTTTCTCTCATTCATGGTAACATCTCCTCCAGCTTCTTGCCTCCACTCAAGGCCGGATTTCCCACAAGGCCTACCTGAGGCCCGGTCTCGGGGCAGCAGGGATGTGGAATTCCTCTCCCAATGCCCGGGACATGCAGTTCCGGGTGATGGGCGGGTAGTTGCTTTATACATTTAGTCCTGCTTTGGGCAAGCAGGGTTAAATGTAGAGCGGGGAAGCCGCCGCTTGTTTTATACAAGTGATCCCAGGGATGTCACTGAGATCACTTGTATGCGGTCTGCATACGGGGATGGGGGCGCATTGAGGAACCTGGCCTTGGGGCAGCAGAGAGAGTAAATCCGGCCCTGCCTCCACTTCCTGCTTTCATGCGCTTCCTCCAGTGGTGGCTGCACATCATTGCTCAGTAGCCACTTCCTGATGGTGACAACTACAGAACTTACATGTGTAATTAGTATTGAGGATAAAGGAGGAGAGCAATTGGAAGCCATATAGTGGATTGTTACGCCTTAACAGGAAATGCCTGAACAAAGGGTCTCCAGTGGCAGGACCACCAGGTATTATTTGACTGAAAGCTGCAGTTTTTAAAAGATTCAAAATTACTTTCATTCTTGTCCATTTGGGGGACACTGGAAGTCATCGCTACTGGTGGATAGCAGTATAACCCAACAGTAGATGACTGACCTGACCTGTGTACCTCAGTGGACTCCAACAAGAAGATATAATGGGGAGTACAAAAATCCTATTTTCTTTCTGGAGGCACACAGGAAGTCATCTGCAGTTGGGTTACACTGCTGCCCACAGGAGGATTGGACACGAGTAACAAAAACTACTGGTAGAAATAACTTCCTGTGTCCCTAAATGGAGTGCAAGAAAAGAATCTTAGAGTGAGTACACAGGAAACATTCTGACTGGTAGCTTTTTTTTTTTTTTGCTAGTGTCCTAATCCACCTTATGGCAGGAGTATAC